CTCTCTCTCTCTCTCTCTCTCTCTCTCTCTCTCTCTCTCTCCTCAGTTGCTCTTCCTGAGGTTTCTACCGTTGTTTTCCCCCGTTAAAGGGGTTTTTTTGGGGAGTTTTTCCTTATCTGCTGTGAGGGTCCTAAGGACAGAGGGATGTTGGATGCTGTAAAGCCCTGTGAGGCAAATTGTGATTTGTGATATTGGGCTTCATAAATAAAATTGATTGATTGATTTAAACTTCATTATGACAGTGAGTCATAAGGCACAGTTTATTTCTGAAGTGTTACAATCTTAATGCAAAATAAAAATTTTCCCCACAGTAACTGATTTTGATAAGAGACCCTATATATTCACCAACATACTAAGAAGATTTAAAGGTGCTGTATGTAAGAATGTGGCCAAAACAGTTACTGCACTCAATTTCAAAATACTGCCACGAGTCGTGTCCGCCCCCCCTCCCCTACAGATTCGAGGTTGCTGGACAACGGCACGCTGGAGACTGATTTGTTTGCCCGGGATACAGCTGAGGAGAAGCCAGCTGCTAATGCTATGTACCAGGACACTGCTAATGCTGCTTGCTGTGCTGCTGTAGGTCAGTCGTAACTGTAACTGATGCTGAGACTCTACTGACTGCGTGACTGGTAGACGGCGACAGGTGGCACAACAGGCCAAAATACAAATTCAAAACATAAACATGATTTGCGGACTGTAAAAATGTTTTTTAAATGCGAATATTCTGGCTGTACTATTGTTGTCGGTGAGATCAGTATGTTATATGAACATTATTCCTTAGTCTCTGTGACATATTAGGAGGATTTTACAACTATTTGCTTTAGATTTCTTACATGTAGCTCCTTTAAGATGTAGATTATTATTTAAACCACATTTTCCCCACAGTTAAATCAATTAGGTTACATAAATCACAGATCAATATAAAATGATCACATGCAGTAGCTTCCTTCCACCATAGTACCAGTTAAAACAGAGCATGCAGATTTTCCCTTTATCAGTTTTGTTAATATGAAGCTGCATTTGGCTGAAACAGCTGAGGAGGTCACACCTTCTGACATTCAAATGGCCACACTGTTTTCTATCACAGCTGGATCCATGTATGTGTATGGCACCTCCAGACTCTTGTTTCTGATTTTGATGCGTGCACTTAACGCTTGAAGCTCTCCTTGAAAAGCTGTTACATGGCTGGAGGGAATCTCCTCACTGTGATGGTCCTCCAGGGACTCGCCAAGACCGACCTGATGAAATAAATGATTAAATACATTTTATCAATAGCATTTAAATGTTGTCAAGCATATACTACTGGCACTATAATGCACAGCTGTAAGTAGTGAGCAGGGCTGTTTTTCTCATTGACTGGAAGAGGGAGTTTTGCTCTGATGATGCAATAACCTGTGATACAAAACTTGAAGAAAATTTTGATTGATGTCATTCGAATTTCGTGAGGTTTTGTTCACTTACAAAGTCAGAGGATGGTTTGCTGAGTAACCATATGGCAGCCATTGCATTGGCTGTTGTGCCCTTGTCAGGTAATGTCTGCAGCACCGTGGCCTCGCTAGTTGTCCCCTTTTTGGTTGGTGGAGGAAGCTGCAGGCTGGTGGGAGTGTTGGGCATCCAGCCTCCATAGTCATACTGCAATGATTGAATGATTGGCAGATAACTGATTAAGACTCACTCACAGCATAGCACTGGTATCATGGTGATACAATTATTGTTCAAAATGTGCTTTAAAAGCTGCATGTTTTAACCATGCTAGTGGCATGGCTCCATCGTGAGAGTCATGTCAGTCTGTCCACCATGTAGTTCCACACCGAAGTATTTCTACTGGATGTGTTGACTGAAATTTGTATTGGAACCAAAATTAGTACAAACATTCATGATCCCCAGATGATGAATCTCAGTAACTTTAGTGATCTCCTGACTTTTCCTCTAGCGCCACCATGAGGTTAACATTTGTTATTTTGAGCTAAATGTCTTGACAACTTTCTGTATGTGCCCATGTGTACATTTATCTATTTATTTATTTTATGATTTTGTACAGTTGGGAGTTCTGGATTAGCAGAGCCAGTCTATTATCTCCCATCCTTCTGTCAATCACAGTAATGCATGGCACATAGATGGTCATTGCTGGCTAGTGCAGCAGAGGAAGGGGGGGCAGGCGTGGCTGTAATCTCTCTTGCCGTTGAGTGAGAGCACTGTTTTCTATGAGACATTACGACACACCTGTAATTTTTTCTTTGCACTGCTTTAAATGGTTTAATAAACTGATCAAGAAAGTTTGTCTATAGCTCATGGTGAAACATTACAGTGAGCATGTGCATGCAGAACTGTCAATAAATGAATCACAGTATCCAAAGTTTCCAGCTCTCTGGACATGAGTTTACTTTTAGCTGAAGACAAGTTCACCCATTCAACCTTCAGTGGCTTATTTAGATATACAGTACAGGCCAAAAGTTTGGACACACCTTCTCATTCAATGCGTTTTCTTTATTTTCATGACTATTTACATTGTAGATTCTCACTNGTGCGGTTCATTTGGGCAGGTGTGAACACAGTAGTCGCACTTTGGTGCGCACCAAAACAACCGGACTGAGGCCTTCTTAAAGAGGTAGTCTTGGTCTGGATACAAATGAACCTTGGTGCGGTTCGTTCGTGGTGAGAACATGTTCTAACCTCAATCTGAACCAACTGCAGTCACATGACACATTGTTTGGGTTAAACATGAGCATGTTACAGTCCTGGAGGATTATTAATGTGCACCTCCTCCTGTACTGCCTTAATATGCACATTCAGCACATCCAATGCATCAAAACATTGTTTTCTAGTTGGAGCCGCGCCTCGTTTTCAAACTGTATGGTTTGACTAAAATGAACAATGACAGCAATATAGTCCATGATAACCAGCGCTAAAATCAGTTTGTGTAGTTGTCCATCCATTGTGACATTAGAAAGTGTCACATTTATCTTGCAAGTGTACTGTTCTTCAACGTTTTGTTTATTTCCTGGATTCTTTCCACATGGAAATTTGACCCATAAAGGCATTTTATCTGGTCTGACTATCTGGTTTACATGCTGCCATTAGAAGGCAAACCAACTCTATTGACAAACAATGTGTCAACCAGGTCTTAAACAAATAAAAAGTGCACCACCCTCTTTACCGACGTTACTCCTTCAAATAAACGCACCAGCCTTTACCATTTACAGTTTGGTCAGCAAATTATCAGTGTATCAGCCCAATCATGCTAATAACAACCATGAAGCAAAATAGTGTCAGTTTATTACTCACTGACTCTCTCTTCTTCCCACTTTTCAATTCTCTCCTTGTGAGACTCAGAATCTTTATTGGTCCATCTATTCATAAATACAGTTTTGTTTCTGAGTGCCCCCTCCAGTAAATGATAAATGATCTCTCAGACGCCTCATGTGTAGACTTAACCAGTACTTTATTTTGGTGAAGTTTACAGTAGACCTTAGTGACAGTAGAAAGTATTGATCAAAAATCACCACCCAGAGAAAGTATTAAATGGATTAATTCACACACACAGATTAACATTTTATGCCACATCATAACAAAATAAGAGCAAATTTCAATAATATGAAGATGTGCTGAATATAGGGACAATTAATTAAGAACTGTCATCTAAATGTGCTAAATAAAATGTGTTTGACACTGTGTTTAATTCGGGCTTTGCTGTGATTATCCAATGACAAATCAGCCAAATTACTTTTACATTAATATGCACCATGTTTGTTTTCCCTTCTACAGCACATGCAGATTGTCACATTCTGTTTGTGGATGATACATGTGTTTATACTGTAACTTGTCAATGCAGCATATTGCAGCTTATTGTATTCAACTTTTGTAACTGTGGGAAATTGTTTTTATAAAAAGTGTAAAACAAGGACAAGGACAGAAAGAAGCACCTCCCTCATGGAACACAGGATCATTGAAGCAACACCTCTTTCTGTGGTTACAGGAACCTCCTGTCCTCCATGAAACTGAGCTTACTTTGTTCTGAGTGACAAGTACTTGTTTTTCACACGAGATGAAAGAGACACAGTTCACTTTAAAGTTTTGTCCTCTAGTACTCGCCTATTTTTCTAACATACAGATACAGAGCATGCAGTAAATCAAGCAAAACATAGGTACCTACATTTATTTATACTTCATTATGACAGTGAGTCATAAGGCACAGTTTATTTCTAAAGTGTTACAATCTTAATGCAAAATAATATTTTTCCCCACAGTAACTGATTTTGATAAGAGACCCTGTATATTCATTGAAAGACTAAGATTTAAGATGTAGATAATGATTTAAAACCACATTTTCCCCACAGTTAAAGCTATGGTCTACATTTAGAAAGATTGATCATTATTATTAACATCATTTAGATGGTGGTTATGGCCCAATAGTGCTAGCTACACAATGTGAAGAGCAAAAGGAACCAAAAAAAATCCATTCTCTCTGGCGGCTGCAGACCTGCAAAGAAATTGACCAATCACAGCCATTTGGGCCGCATGGCTGTGATTGGTCAATTTCGCTCCTGTCCTTGCTCAAATTTGCACTCTCACCCTCCGTCCAATCCCCTGGCTCCATTTTGACCCTCCTCTGCTTCTCGTCCCCCCCCTTGTCCCAACCCCCCTCTGCATTTGAAAGTAGAGCAGTTTGTAAGGCCCTGACACACCAGACCGACGTCAAAGAACTAGCAGCGACGAAGCCGACTGTTCCGTCGTCTACGTCGCCTCACGTCGCCCTGTGTCAGTGCATATGAACACACTACACAGACTACATCCGACGTGCCAAGTGGCACGTACGTTCTGCGCCTGCGTGAGAGAGAGTGGAGTGACAGAGTGGTACATCCTGACAGCTGAGGTGCTACCTATCTGTACAACCCAGCACCCCAGCACCTCCACTGGCTATTACATTCAGACTGTCCCGGTGTTTCCTCCACAGGCTCCACTTCACTCAGCTTCACTCAGCTGCCTGATAAACCCGCTGCTTCTTCCCACTTTAACCGGAATAACAAAGCAGGGCTCAATGCTCTGGCTGAGTGTCCCTCCCTCATGCTGCGGCTAATAATGCTCTGCTAGCCGCTTCCAGCTAGCCCGGCCCTCCATTTGGATTCAAACAGAGAGCCGGGCTAGCTGGGAAGCTAGCGGAGGCTAACTGACTGTGTTTCCCTCCGGTCATGCTGCGGCTAACGCTCCCAGCTAGCTCCGGTTTGTTATTCAGGTTAAAGTGGGAAGAAGCACCGGGTCTGTGGGGCAGCTGAGTGAAGTGGAGCTTGAGGAGCAAACACCAGTTAGCCCCGGTTTCACTACAGGAACATTCATTCGCTACAGGGGCGAGGGAATAAAACCTAAACAGCCAATCAGAGTGAGCGCTTTCATCGACTAGCTCCGCCGCCGATTCAACATGCTCAATCAGCCAAAAAGCCGCCAACGCTGAAGGGCCGATGGTGCAGGACACACCTCAAAAACTAGGCCAACCGACGGCCAAACTTTGGTCGACGGACAACCGTCGGCTTGGTGTGTCAGGGCCTTAAGGCCCTGGCCGAGGGGATGTTGTGTTTGGAGCGATTTTCAGGTTTTTGGAAGCAACAGGGCTTGTAAATAGAATTTCATACGTAGTATATTCTGTTCCACACTCCAGTCCAGAAGGTGGCGGTAATGCACCTAAACGTTGTTTGCCAACTGCCATAAAACGAAAGAAGAAGGAGAATAAGAAGGTTGGCTTATGACTGTGAAAGCCTTTAGCTGTTAGCTTCTGTGTGCCGGCCTTGTTAGTATGTGGGAGGAGGTGTGTCATTAGGAGGCTCCGAGGGGAGGAATCATGGAGCACAGAGGGAGGGGTGTGTTTGGGGGGGAATGCTTTTTTCAAATCTTTCTCATTGTCTTTCTAAACGTAGACCATAGCTTTAAATCAATTAGGTTATATAAAAATCAAAGATCAGTATAAAATGATCACATGCAGTAGCTTCCTTCCACCATAGTATCAGTTAAAAACAGAGCATGCAGTTTTTCCCTCTCTCACGTTCATGAATATGAAGCTGAATTTGGCCAACAGCTGAGGAGGTCACACCTTCTGATATTCAAATGGCCACACTATTTTCTATCTTCACTGGATCCATGTATGTGTATGGCACCTCCAGACTCATGTTTCTGATGTTGATGTGTGCACTTAACACTTGAAGCTCTCCTTGAAAAGCCTTTATCAGCTCGCAGGGCATCTTCTCACTGAAATGGTCCCCTGGGTACTGGCCAAGAGGGACCTAATGAGATTAAAAATATGTTTTGAAAGTTGTTGTTTTTTTCCACTAACATTCAAATGTTTATCAATTGTGGACTACAGGCAAATTAATGCAGAGTTGTAGGAAGCAGGCAGGATTTTTTCCGTGGCTCAAAGAGGGTATTTTTGCTCTAATGACATATTAACCTTCATTACACAGCTTAAGCATAAATGTGATTATTGTAATTACATTTTAAAGAGGTTTTGGACACTTACATAGTCAGAGGATGGTTTGCTGAGTAACCACAAGGTAGACATTCCATTAGCTGTCGTGCCCTTGTCAGGTAATGTGTCCATCATCGTGGCCTGAATTGTTGTCCCCTTTTTGGTTGGTGGAGGACAGTACAGGGTGGTGGGAGAGTTGGGCATCCAGCCACCATAGTCATACTGCAATGATTAAATGAATGATTGAGAGATAACTGAGTATTAGTCTTCGAAGCCATGCCATATCAGTCTGTTTGTCAGTCAATCCACCACTATTGATCCACCCTGAAATATTTCAACAACTATTGGATGTATCCCATGAAATTTGGACTGCAATTAAAATTTGTACAGACATTCATGGTCCCCAGAGGATGAATCCTAATGATTTTGGTGATCCCCTGACTTTTCCTTTAGCACAACTTATTTGTTTTTCAGAGAAATGTCTTGGCAACTTTCTGTTGGATTGCCACTAACTTTGGTTCAGACATTCATGTTGACCTCAGGACATACTTTGGTGATCCTCTGACAGTTACTCCAGTGCCATCATCAGATCAAATTTTATTAGTCCAACACTTTGGTCTATGACCAAATAACTTCAAAACTAATGACATGCCCATCAGCCTCAGCTGTACTTTGTGTTTTGTACTAATCAGCAAATGTTCACATGCTTAAATGTTAAGCTAAGACTGTGATTTTAGTAAACATAACACCTGTTAAAATCTGCATGTTAGCATTGTAATTGTTCATATATTAGCATTTGTTGCATTTAGTTCGAAGCATCACTGTGCTAAGTACAGTCCAACAGGCCTGTTAGCATGACTGTAGACTCCTGTTTATGTGGTCAGTCTCTCCAAAACCTCATCAACCCATTCCACAAAAAAAGCAACATTATAAATGATCATCACAGTAAATTAAAAAGCTTCACCTGTCCAGTGTTCACAGCAGAGTGTTGTGCTGAGCAAGTGAAGATCACCATGGTGACAAACTTGACCAACTCTTCCACTTTGGTAAAGCGCTGGGGAATTCCTGAGAATTAGAGGAAATAAACTGCATTTTACTTGCATCTCATCTTACTTAAAGATGCCTAGATCATTAAATTAAAGTTTGACATATGTTTGCATGTTGATTGTTTAATATAAAATATAAATATGCATATTTCTAATCACTGAGATTGAGTGTTTCTTTAAACCCACCTGTGCCTTTTCGGGAAAGAAATCCATGTTCAAAAATGTCCGAAATCCACTTCTGCAGTTCAGAGTCTTTCTTGACCTCATCATCATTCTTGTAGTAGAAGCCGAGCACTCCCTGCACAAACCTTTGAGAAATGTGAATATGTTCTGTAAAACACATTCTTTGTTGATATCTTTCATATACTGTAGTAGTAAAACATAACTCTTTTGTAAGACAATTTAATGTCCATCTCTTTAAAATGATCAGTTCTGTTCTTTTTAACACTTTGATACAATATTCAACACAGTGGATCCTACAACTTTAAAGGGAAAGTTTTAAATCTTCAGAAATTTGCCAGTTCACTTTCTTGTGAAGGGTTAGATGGCAAAATTAGTACGATAATACATTAAGTATGGAGCTACAGCCAGATGGTTATTAGCTTAGCTAAGCATAAAGACAGGAAGCAGGGGGAAACATTTGGAGCCGGGCTTTAAATTTAAATATATGCCTACCAGCACCTCTACATTTTACTGATGTACACATTGTCAGGGCTTAAAGTACTCCGGCATGGCGCTGGATTTCCAGCTTGAAGGACATTTCTAGTTTTTTTTTTTTTTTTTTTGTGGCAACAGCTTGACATAAGTTAGCATTTAATGAATCATCTTCTGATTTTCAGCGAAGCCAAGGGCGTAGGTTTGATTTTCACATTGGTAGGGACATAAAAGTGTTCCATGTCAGCGACCTGTACATTGTTGATTTTTTAATGCAATTTCACATCATGCGAAACTGATCACTGCTTTATAATGCATATTTAGATATCTACACTAAATATAAGAATGTCTTGGTTAGTGTATTCCAGGGCCCGACCGATATGGATTTTTTGGGGCCGATGCCGATATTATGGAATAAAAAAACCTGATATATCAGCCGATTCAATTTTTAGGTTTTTCAATTTAAAACCCCCCGAAATACCTGCTTTTGATGGCTTAAATACACTGTGGCAAACCGCTCGGTTCAGTAAATGTGCTGTCGGCTCTTCAGTCTTCGCTACTTCACTCTGCTGTTGGGTCACTGGGGTGACTGTGGAGCGTGACATGAAAGGAGTCGGAGCGCCCTCTACTGGATTAGTAACACAAGGACATCATTTCTAAGTAAAACACCATATTCCCTGCATTTTATTAGTGATGAAAATATAAGTGTTAACATCGGCATCAATCGGCCACCATCTGGCCAACATTTGACTGATTGATTATGGCCATTAGAGAATAATCGTCAGCCAATTAAATCGGCCGGCCGATAAATCGGTCAGGCCCCAATGTATTCTCTAATGTTATCAGTTACATGAACATACACTGATAACTTCACCACATCTGTCTGTATGTGCTTGGAGATTAGGTTAATTGATAACTAAATTGTCCGTAGGTGTGAATGTGAGCGTGAATGTGTGTCAGCCCTGCGATAGTCTGGCGACCTGTCTGTACCCTGCCTCTCGCCCAATGTCAGCTGGGATAGGATCCAGCACCCCCCCGCCCCCGCAACCCTCAAGAGGATGAAGCGGTTAGAAGATGGATGGATGATTACCTTGTGTTAGCTTGACCCTGTCGGACACAGAGAAAACAGCATGCCGTGCAGAGTTTCCCCTATATGCAACTAGCAGCGGAAATATGACCACTGCTGCTGATTTTTTTTCCGTCTTAGCGCTTTAACCGATTATTTGGCGCTACAGACACTTCATTTAATAACATACTATTCATCGTGTTATGTCATTGTGCGGACGGACAGACGGACAGACAGGGCTCGGGCCGCATTTTTTGCAAGCATACAAAAAAGTTTCACGCATGTGAAAATTATTTTTCATGCGTGTGCTTCACCTCTGCTGCTACAACTCCATCCTAGGGGAAACACTGCTGTGTGCGTTTTGTGCAACAGGTGGATGTGGTAGTCTACCGGCAGAGTAGAGAGAGAGCTAAGTAGCGTTGAAGTAGAGTAGAGCAGGACAGAGAGATGGAAGCAAAATATACTAAACCCGGTGTTAATACAACAGAACTGGAGAGAAGGGTCTAAAATAAACAGAGGTGGGCATGGCTCAAGTAGGGCGCAAAATTATAGACGGACCTCTTCTGAGGATTGAAGCCCTGCATTGTGTACAAATGTAAAAATGACAAGGGCTTGTTTTAATGGGGACTTATATGCTGCAACTGTTTCATGCTATACAGTGGCCATGATTTAAGAAATCCTTGAGAAAACCAATTGAGTTACATAGGAGTACAAAAGCTAGCTAGTAGTGAAGGCAGGATTTGGGCTTTTATTTTCCAGTATCAGGACACCCATACTACCTGTAGATGATATCCCAAAGCTTGAGTCCATCATCCCTGTAGTAGAAGTTCGGCACATCCTTCAGCCCACGCTCAGCGATGTCCTCTGGTATGCAGAGGGAGGTGTAGGTCACTGAGGACAATGATCTCTGCAGGAGTGTCACCAAACCCTCTCCACCAGTGGCTGCAAACTAGCAGACAGTCAAATATGTCAGGAGTATAGTTAGAGACAAATACTGTGCATGATACTGAAAACAAACATTGTTTATGTAATGGTCTACTGAGTGTGTTGGTCTTTTTGTACCTTTGTGAAAACTCCATTGTCGGATATCAGATGATGTCGAGCCATATAGTTGATTTCAAGAGTGTCGTGAGTGTGAGGTATGAGGAGCTGAGGGGAAGAGCAAAAATATGTTACTAACAGATTTACATGTTAACCAAGTCAGTAATCTTGATGCTACTTTACTATTTAGTAGTGAGAAATACTTAAAAAAATACACACACTAAAACATTATGATTTATCAACTTTAGAAGATACAAAATCAGCAAGTCAAATAACCTACAACTACAGTAAGTTCAGTATTCTCCCCTCAGTTACCTTGTACAGTGGATGCACCATGGGCAGGTTGCGCAGCAGTGACACTGCAAACACTTCAGCCAGCAGATGAGTGCGCAGCAGGTGAGAGTTGGCTTGATGCTCATTGAAATCTGCACTTCTCACAAAAATCTTGGCCGTCAACCAGTCGTACTCAGGATCAGTAGGAAGGAAGATGGGGTTGTCTTCTGCTGGAGTCTGCTTCAGCTGCAGGAGAAGGAAGGAGGTGTGGTTCATTTTATATATTCATATATTGCCAGCACTGGTCAATATTGTTCAAGAATGTAAGTGAATATTCACTACTTTTATCATTCTTACATACATTAATACTTTTGTTTCATGTAAATAACACTGACTTGACTTTTGTTTGTGTCAGACTCAACTGTCAGCCCTGGATGTGGCTATTGGAGGAACTCTTTTTTACATGGCACATGCTCAGGCAGGAAGAAATGAACTGCCACTCCTTGCACAGAGACTTCATAGCTGCCATCNCCCCTCTGTAGGGGGACTGAGACAGGGAGGCAGGAACAGGAGGGAGGAGGTTATTTTATCAAGGTTAAGATTAGGACACACAGGACTAAGTAAAATGTTATTTGTGATAGGGAAACACAGAAATGGAGAGTGCAGTGTTTGTAAAGAGGAAGAAAGTGTTAAACATATTTTTATGAAATGTCAAAAGTATGAGAGGGAAAGAGAGAAATTAAAAAGAAATATTGAGGAAATAGGGATGGAATTTAGCATAAAAGAAATGTTAGATAAGCCCTCGACAGATAGAATAATGAGTAGAGTATTTGAGTATATTAGAAGTACAGGACTAGATAAACGAGTATGAGGTTTTTTTTTTTTTGATTGTTTTGTTTTTCCCTTTTATTATGCAAAAAGTAGTATGTAAGCCTATACAGTAATTACACAGACCGAAGGGTGGCAGTAATGCACTATCATAGTTTGCTACTGCCGTTAAAAAAGAAGAAGAAGAAGAAGAAGAAGAAGAAGAAGAAGAAGAAGAAGAAGAAGAAGAAGAAGAAGAAGAAGATGATGTCGTCTCTTGATGCATTTTCTGTCCAGGGTGGCTGAGGAGCATGTTAGTCTCCTGAAGGTATGATTTGAGGCTACTTGTTTTAACTTTGTGAACACTTTAAAATATGTTTTTATTCATCAGTTTTACTTTGTTTTTACTACAGGCATTTTAAGCCACCTGTCGCCCAGACCCTGTAGGCC